CAAAAAAAAAAAAAAAAAAAGATTCAACAACATAAGAAAGATCTGTAAAGCTATGAAAATGGATGGGATAGCTGAGAAAAAAATAATAAGATGGAACAGAAGGGACTAGGATAAAAGGACACTACTATTTAAATTGACTACATGAAAGTTTTTGGTGATCTTGGTGCATTTCAGTCAGATAGTGAAGGTAGAAGCTCAATAGTTCCATAAAATACATTAAATTTAAATCTAAAATCTGACATTTGAATCCCATAGTAAAAAATACATATATTTTTTGAGTTGGAATCTTCCTCTGTCACCCAGGCTGGAGTGCAGTGGCACACTCACAGCCACCACAGATTAGACCTGCTGGGCTCAGTCAATCCTTCCGCCTCAGCCATCCAAGTAGCCGGAACTACAGGCATGTGCTACCAAGCCCAGCTAATTTTTTGATTTATTGTAGAGACAAGGTCTTGCAACGTTGCCTAGGCTGGTCTCGAACCCCTGGGTTTTGGCAGTCCTCTCACCTCAGACTCCTAAAGTGCTGGGATTACAGACTTGAGCCACCACGCCAGGGTGTAAAAAATAATTTTAAGGGCTTTTTTTTTTTTAAGAGGAAAAAGAAGATTTAAAATTTTTTGTTTTAATATTAGAGATATGGCTAACATTTCCAGAAAGCTTTAACAATCTGAACATAGCATTTTATTATTGGTAGAGGCAGATGATGATGATGAGGTTCCTAGAGAGGCGACAGGAGAAGAGAGGGATGGGATTTGACTCTGTTGTTATAAGTAATACAGATGAACAAAGTGACATCACTTGGAGGACCCCGAGTTACAATAGCTGTCACAGCTGATGCAGAAGGAGCAGGAGCCAATGTTTAATGATGAGGCAAAACAATTATACCTTATTGTCTCCTAGGAAGCTAGTTCTTGAAAGCATACAGGTGATCTTTCTTTTAATATCAAGGAGAAGTTTTATCTTACAGCCTGAGTTTATATCTGAAAGAATAAAAGTGAGATGAAATCATTTAGCTAAATCTTCAAGTTTATTTAAAAGAGAATGTTTTCATTTAGAAATGAATGAAATGCCGCTAACTGGAAAGTTAAAAAATGTTGCATTTTGCTTAATATCGCTTTTTCGTTTTCTCATATTAATAGTGCCTGTGAGTCACAACAGATTTTAATATAAAGACATAATTAGCTGTTTTCACTTCTAAATAATATTATTTAGATATTGTTACCCTGTTACACAGTTGAATTCTGCTTTAGTGTTGTATATCAAAATTTATCAAGTAACTCTTTCATATGCTTCATTAAAATTTGTTCTTATTCGCAATTTTAACAATTTTGATCTTCATTCTTCTTTAAATGAAAAAAAGTTGGCTACTATTTTCTATTTAAAAACTTTTGATAGTTAATTGCTATTGTCATTATATATCATATGCTCTCACTTCTCCCTCAAGATAAATAGTTCTACTTTCTTTCATCTTTTTCATGAACACTTCTTATTAAAACTTCATTTATTTGGTCGTCTCTCCATGTTCTTCAAATATTTCTTAAAATAGGAAATCACAAACTTCATAAAATTCTTATAGAAACCAAATCAGAGATTACAAAGATAATATAAGAACAGTGTCAATTTAAATCTTTAAATTGGTTCAGTTATCATTATTATAGTTGTTTCAATTTCTTTAATTGACAGATAAGAATGTATTTATTAGCGACAACATGATGTTTTGAAATATATATACATTGTGGAATAGTTAAATCTAGATAACTAACATATGTATTACCTCAGTTATCAAGTTTGTGGCAAGAACGCAACATCCATTCTCTTAACATTATTCTTAGAATGCAATATAGTCATTAACTACAGTCACGCTGCAGTGCAATAGAACTCTTGAACTTATTCTATCTAATTATAATTTTGTTCAATTATTTTTAATTCAAGTTGACTTAAAATAAAACAAAAATAACTTACCAAGTGAGCTTATCTTGGCTTAGATGGGGAATATTCAACAATCGTAAATGTGGTGGGGTTGTTAAAACTTCAGAAAGGGTAGTTCAGGCTCACAAGGTAGTGATTTTTTTTTCTTTTTTTCCTTCTTTTTTTTTCCCTGAAGTAATCTATCTTTAATTTGTATTTACTTGAAAGTAGACTTTCTGAAATTTGTTTAACTTCTTTTTGTTACTTCTATAGTTCCTTATTTAAATCTATGAATGCAGTTTGAGATTTTTTTTTTTATCTGTAGATGCAACATATGACTCCTTGGATTATTTTAAGCCTTCATGGAATTTTCTTTTTGTAACCAAGATTTACTGTTATCTTACACATTCTTATTTGAATATTCTTTAAATTTTCCCAAGGATCTTTCATTGAATCCTTCATATCCCAAAATTTAGCTTAGGTTTACTTCAAGTCCTTCAATGGATCTTCCTCTAATTTTTCAACATCTTTTTTTATATTATTATAAATCTCTTCTGAAAGCTCTGTATCCTTCTTTACCTCCTTTAAAAAATTATTTGATTCCTTGAAACCCTTTTTTTCACTCATAGATTCTATTTTAGACTATTGAAATTGTTTCATCAAATATGCTTTCAAGTTATTCTTTCAGTTTGAGTTATTATGCAAGGCCTACTTGCCCTTCTTAGCGTCCTTCTTTGCAGCCTTCTTATCCTTTTTTGCATCAGCAGAGTCTGCATCAGTCTTTTTCTTGGCATCTTTCTTGGCATCCTTCTTGGAATCACCCTTTGATTCAATGTCTGTACCACTGGACTTCTTTTCATCTTTCTTATCCTTTTTCTCCTTCTTTTTATCTCCTTTCTCCTTCTTGGCATCCTTTGATTCTTCCCCTTTCTTTTCATCTTTTTTTCCGTCATCCTTTTTTTCATCCACTTTTTCAGTTTCTGATTCTGTAGTTGTATCTTTACCCTTCTTTGACCCTTTTTTATCCTTTTTGGAATCTTTCTTTGCATCAGCTTTTTCACCTTCAGATTCTGTAGTTGAATCCTTGCCTTTCTTTGCATCTTTTTTACCTTTTTTGGGTTCTTTCTTTGCATCTTTTTCACCTTCAGATTCTGTAGTTGAATCCTTGCCTTTCTTTGCATCTTTTTTATCTTTTTTGGGTTCTTTCTCTGCGCCTTTTTCACCTTCAGATTCTGTAGCTGAATCCTTGCCTTTCTTTGCATCTTTTTTACCTTTTTTGGATTCTTTCTTTGCACCTTTTTCACCTTCAGATTCTGTAGTTGAATCCTTGCCTTTCTTTGCATCTTTTTTATCTTTTTTGGATTCTTTCTTTGCACCTTTTTCACCTTCAGATTCTGTAGTTGAATCCTTGCCCTTCTTTGAAGCTTTCTTTCCTTTTTTAACTTCTGATTCTGATTCTGCTGAGTCCTTCTCCACTTTTTTATCTCCTTTCCCTTTCTTATCTTTTTCTGGGGACACAGTTTTCGCTGCACCTGTTTCTTTAGACTCTCCCTTGGAGGGACGAGTTGGTTTTTGCGGAGGCTGCCTCCGGGCAGCTAAGTAAACAGATGGTCTCTCAGAAATTTTCATTAAGGAACGGTACATCCATAATGGTCTTTTACGACCTCTTAATTCATCTTCATCAATTTTCTGAAATATTGGTCAGAATAATAATGAACAACTTGCGGGTTATCTATACAGTTTATATTAATAGATACCAAATGCATTTTAACTTCAGCCATAACTATTTTAGATTTTGATAAAAAGTAGATAAATGAGAAATATTTGTCTTCGAATACTCAGACTCCTGAATTCAACATTACAGAAACAGAGGAAGCCTTGAAACTGCACCAAGGCAAAATGTAACCCTATGATAAAAATGAGAGGCTTTCTCCAGCCAGGGAAATGTTCCTGGATGTTCATATTAACTGTAATATTAGGGACACCAGATTTTGGGGCTTCTCAGGTATGTTTCCTATAATGTGAGGTTGCTAAACAAATAATATGGAATAAGAAAAGCACTTGTATATAATAAAATGAAAATAAAAATCTACTTTCTTCAAGTTGTAGAATTTGAATTATCTTTAATTGTGTTGTCCAATGTGGAATTTAATAGCCACATATGGGACAGGCACAGTGGCTCACGCCTGCGTTCCTAGCTCTTTGTGAGGCAGAGGTGGAAGGATTGCCTGAGGCCAGGTGTTGGAGGCCAACCTGACCAACTTGGTGAGCCCTTGTCTCTACAATCAATCAATCAATCAATCAATCAATCAATTAGCCATGCATAATGGAGCGTGGATCCGTGGTTCCAGCTACTTGGAAGACGGAGGCAGAAGGATAGCCTGGGCCCAGCAAGTCAAGGCTTTGGTGGCGATGATCATGCCACTGCACTCCAGCCTAGGCAACAGAATGAGACTCCGACTCAAACAAAACAAACAAAAAACCAAATAGCCACATGTGCATTTACTTTAATTAAATTCAATTTAAATATATCATTTGATTCCTCAGTTGATAACTTTATTTCAAGTGTTCAATATCCCTACATTTATTTAAAAGTTATAAAATTATTCCATAGTGAGAGAATGTTGTTGGTCAGCTCTGATCTACAACAAATATTAAGTATGTGTGACTCTACAAGCTTACTACTAATAAGTACTCATTACAAATAATTAAATGATCTTTTCAATACTTACAGGAGCTGTATTGTCTCGTATTTGAGAAGGTAATGATCTCCTTTTCATTCCTGGTCGCTGTGGTTTGGGAAATGCCAAGGCAAAGTGTTGCTGATTCCATGATTTTTTGCTTAATTCACTAACTAAAATAAGAAGGGCAAAGCACATACTTCATAGTAAATAGTTAGAATTTCATCAGAACTGGAATAGCAGTAAGTGAATACACAATCCATGTAAGTGAGTGAACAAGTGATACAAATTATGGCTTCATTTATTTGGCAATGTTGAAATTTTTGGTTAGCAATATGAGAAAAATAAATATTGATTTTTCTATTTTGACGAATTTCACAGAGAAGTGTAGAAAGTAGTCATTGCAAAATTAATGTAATCTATAATGTAAATGGAAATAAGTCGTTTTACTGCTGCCTTTTAAATCTGCTTCTTCTAGTCTAGGTTCTTGCTTTATGCTCTTAGTTAAAATAAAATATATAGAGAACTAAATATGTGTTAACTACTTCTATAGCCCCCCAAAGACCTTAGCACTAGTCCTTACAAAAAATATTCAGTAAATATATGATTGAATCTAAGGGCTGTCTGACGATTCCATTAATTAGTAATGCTTTTTGAAGCTACATAAGTAAATGCTATGCGTCCAAGAACTTCATTGTTATAGGTAACATATTTAATTTTTTAAAAATGAAAAATAAATCTCCAGAATGGTGACTGAGGGGTTGAAGTTACCTGAAACTATAATAGAAATAATTAATTAAAGATATTTAAGTTACAAATGAGGCCAATGAGATATTTCATCACTGTACTTCAATATTTTTTTTTGAGTTGGAGTCTCACTCTGTCGCCCAGACTGGAGTGCAGTGGCCACTCCCGGCCACCGCAGCCTCGACCTGCTGGGCTCCGGCGATCCTTCCGCCTCAGCCTTCTGAGTAGCCGGAATTACAGGCATGCGCTACCACGCCCGGCTGATTTTTTGATTTATTGTAGAGATGAGGTCTCGCTGCCCAGGCGGGTCTCGAACCCGCGGGCTCAGGCAATCTACTCACCTCAGCCTCCCAAAGGCGCGGGATTACAGGCTGAGCCACCGAGCCCGGCATAAATATTTTCAGTATTACTATGTGGAGAAAACAGAATTTTTCTGTGAGTCTCCTGAAGACAGTATCAGGATCAATGAGAAAAATTGTACGGAAGGAAAAGTATATTTCATCTCGATATATGACAGAAAAACCACTCGATATTTGAATTCCTACAAAATCAGATAAATTTGCCTTGTGTAATTATAAAATTTCTAGCCAATTATAAGCCAGATATAATCTATCAGGAATGTAGTAAGAGAGATTCTGCTATTTGGATTGAATCTTAGTGCTAGACATAGTTGAGTAGTTGTTTATCCAATTTCTACAATGCTTTTCAACTCTAAGATTATGTGATAGTGCAATTTCTAATATGTTACTATGTTCACCATTATGTTGCTGCACATATTTGCTTAAATTTCCTAGAATTTAAAACAAAACAAAAAGTATATATAAAAGCTGTTCACTGAACCCATGAGAAAGATTTCTTGAGAAATAAAAAGTCAAATATTAATTCTATTCTATGGCAGTTCTGCTATCTCACTTTGAGAACGATAAAAATTATATACCTCTAAAATTAGTAATGTATGCTTTAAAATAAGTATTGAACTCTTTCTTACCTGGAATGTAATTATCATATGTTCCAAAGTTTATTTTTTGACTATTAAAATAAAAGGGAATATGTAATAATTAATGCATACAAAGTCACTGTATTTAATCATCATTGCCATACATAAGCATTTTCTACCAACAGTTAGAGAAATATTTTGCATTCTCAGAGCTCCATTGTTATGTATGATTACTTCATTCTCGCATTAGCAGAACTGAGTGAAGGTGTTATTCAAACCTTAACAGAATTAACTCATGGTGTACCAAATCCCCAGCTTGCACATGTAAAATATACATGCTTTTTAAATTGCAAAGAATAGTTGAATCATTTTTCCCCATCTTATGCTCCAAATTCTCTTGCAATTAAATTTGAAACAAGGCATCACTTTATAAAGACTATGCTTAAGTAAAAGCAGATCCTCAAAATATTCTCAAAACTTCGTGCAATACTGCTACAATTAAGTAGTACATGTATGTGTCTGTGAGCATTTGTTTTATTACTATGTCAACATGTTTGTTCCCATGGAGAGATTTATAGTCAGACATTATTTATTACAAAAATATAATAAAGTAATGGGACCAATAGTATGATTTGTTAGAGAAATATTATTTTATATCATATATTACAGACATAAAGTCATTGTTGATCATGAGTCAGTTTGAATTTATACATAGACACAAACACTCAGACACTCACATAGTGTTTTAATTAGGCAGTATGTAAAAATAAAGGATTATTTACATAAAAACAGTATCTTGATAACTTGATTAAAGAATGAATTTTCTAGGATAAAACTTGGTGCATTTTTGCTATGCTATAACAATTTGAATTGATTAATTGAATAAAATCTGATATGTATTGATCAATAAGTTATTCAGTTTAGTGTTTTCTAAGCTGTGTAATGCACCAAAATTAGTTGTGCTTCTTTATTTGTGTCTCTTAGTTGAGATCCAATCAGGGTACATTTGCACACTATTGGCTGAGAAAATGTGGATGTCCAACCTGAATTGCTTTGTTCAAAATACTCTGAAAGTAGAAATATTTCAAGCTCATAAAATAATATTATTAAATTTGAGATTTTCAAAATGGTATATAGGAAAGATCTTATATAACCTCAAGAGTGTGTTCTTTCATCACCAAGCAATGGAATTAGAAATCAATAATAGAGTTGTCTAGAAAATACATAAATACTTTCAAAAAGAAGCATCTTCTTCCAAAGAAACAATGGTCAAATAGAAATCACTTGCAAATTTATAAAAAAGTAACTGAGCAATAACCTAATGTATCAAAATTGTAGAATGCTGCTAAAATTGCATAGAAAAGTATTCATAGCTTTAATGCTTTATATTAGAAAAACATTAAAATTTATTATTTTAAACCTCTTCATAAAAATTAGAAAATTAGTATGAAGAGAAAAGAAGACAAGGGGAAAATATGTTTCAATTCATTTTTTTTGAGACCAATATAAATAACTTAAAGCCTCTCCATGTCATCACCAGAAATATGTTATAGATGAATACCCCTCATTAACAGAGACACACAATTTCTTAAGATTTAACATATCATACTGAAAAAAATAACCAATATGTAATGATTATTGAGATTTACTCTCCAGAATGAAAATTTGGTTTAACATAAAATCAACAATGCAATCAGTCTAAATGACAAAAGGAATAAGAAAATAAATCATCTGATCATCTTAGTACATGCAGAAGAATTTTTGAAAAAAGTAACAGTCACTCATAGTTAAAAATTCTGAGGATACTAGATAAAAACATGGTTCTGAGTTGGATAAAATGTGTCTCTACAATGCCTACTATTAAAATCAAACCCTGGTGGAATATTGACTGTTTTTCCCTATAAATCAGAAACAAAGCAAAGATGTTCACTCCTACTCTATCTAGTCAATTTTAGAATCTAGACTATATTGTGTTCCACAAAGCAATGAAAGCATTAAGATTGGAAAGGTAGAAGTAAAATTGTTTTTATTTGTAGAGGACATGATTGAGTAAATAGAATATCCAATGGCATCTACAAAAATAATTATTAGAGGTGTTAAACAAATATAATAATGGTATATGATACAAGGTCTAGTTACATAAACGTCGTACTTCTATATACCAGGAAAATTGTAGGACATCAATGTAATAAAATACCATCACTTACAATAGCATAAAAAACAAATTATGTAGAAATAAAATAATTGAAATATGTACAAGACCTGCATTAAAAAAACAAACAAAAAGCCCTAGAAATTTTCCACAGAGAAATAAAGAAAATTAGGAGAAAACAAAACAAAAAGAGAAGCATACAAAAAGACAAATTAAATGTTTAAAGCAGATTTAATCATAATAATTCTAAAACTGATAGCAACTCAAGTGTCCATCAACAGCAAAGTGAATACACTAAATGTGGCTTATTATTGTGATGGGATATATTTCAGAAATCTGAAGAAATGAATTACTGTTATGTGTAACATGGTAACCTGAATAAATACAAAAATATTCTGAAAAAAATTCATAAAAACAATAGCATGTACAGCAGGATTTTACTACATGTATTTCAAGAATAGGCAAGACTGTACACTGAAGAGCCATTTGTTGAAGAGAGGCAGGGTGGATTGACAAGAATCTTGTGAAATGTAACTTTTGAATGTTTAAATTTTTCTATGTAATTTTTGGAGGTGATTGAGTTAGAGTTACTGACAATTCAGCATATCTTGATCTCTTGCATTTTTACTAAGAAGAGTTTATAGAAATCCCTAATAGAATCGAACCCAATACTTTAATTCCCAGTTACTATGGAAATTTGCATATGCAGTAAGCAATAAAATCAATTTAATCTTTTGGACTAGATAGAATCTTTTAACCTGTTGAATTAGATAGAATTTTTCTATTTTTTTTTTTTTTCCCCTCAAGTCTGGTTCTGGGTCTACATCACTTCCTTTACCTCTTTTTTTTCCAGATCAGATTGAATTTGAATTTAATTTTTGATATTTCTTACAGAAAATAAACTGTTATCATGCCTCTTTTTAACTTTCGAGCATTTTTAAATGAATGTAAATGAATTTCCATCAATTTAAATTAAATATCCTAAGACTGATGTATAATTGTAAAACTTACCCTAAGAAGTGGGAAAAAAGTTACAAGACAAAAGACTTTTTTTGTCAATATGCCTAGTGTTTGAACTAAAGTCTCTGAATACAAGGAAACACAGTAATTAATATCTTCTATTATAAGATGAAATGGATTATAGAAGCCACAATTCTGCCTTCACTTTAGACTTATACATTTAATCATGTCAAAATCATTCTCAGTGTATGTGATTTTTTGAAGAAAAAGATTCCCATTAGCAGCAACGTGGAATGCAATGTGTTTGCAACTTAAAAAAGGAAACTAGGCTTAGGTTTTCTAACTTAAAAGTTGAGATTCCAATATTGGAGATTTCATTTTATTGAAAAAAAAATTCTACTCTATAATACCATCATAAAAAGTTTTTTTTTTTTTTTAGGGTAAACATTTAAATATTTTATATTTCTTATTTTTTTCTTTTAGTCTATAATTTTAATTAAGAACAAAATACACTTGCCTTTACTGTCAGCTGTAATTGTACATCTTCTTGGATGTACAGTTTGTATGCTTTAAACTGTCTAATAAGTTCCAAAGTCAAAGTCTTTAAACAATGATGATGTCTCCCAGTTTCATGGGAATTGTTCATAGAACTGTTTTGGCGAACAACTCCAGATATCCTACCAGCAGACTTGAGATTTTTGGATTCTGCATCAGTTGCAGAAAAAAATAAAATAAAACCATAAAAAACTTGAGTTACTCTTCTTGTATGTGTTAGAGAGGTCACTATAAAGGCAAAAGTCAACTGTCCAATGGATAGTCTCTCTGATGGATACTCTATGTGTATCAAGATTTTCTATCTTGCTCTAATATTTTCTGGAGTAGTGTTTCTTAGCATGGATTTATTTTGAGTCCCTCACCCATAAGACATTTTGTAATATTTGAAGATATTTTTATTATCACAATTGTCTGTGTGTATGTGTGTTTGGTGATACTGGTGCTAGTGGGTAGAGACCAGGAATGCTGCTAAGCATTTTGCAGTGCATCTTATAATAAACGTGATGCTGAATCTCCCGTCTTCCAGCCCTCTTCACACACCATTCCAACACAGAGTTATCTCATCTAAAATATTAGTTCCAATATCGATGAACCTATTTCTAGATCAAGGTGAATCCCTAGGCCAGTGTAGTAAGGAGGACTTTATTAATGCTTCTCAAGAGAGAGAAAAACATATAATTTGAGAACAGGAATATAACACTGGAAGTTTAAATATTCATGTTTTTCAATACCGTATCTGATACCACATTGTTATGAGAACCTCTTGTATTTCCTTCAGAGATCTTAGTTCTATTTAACATTAGAAATGAAAGGACTGAATCAACAAACACAATCTGAGTGGTAGGCCAAGACAAGAAGAGGTGAAACTATTACATAGGTCGTTGAGGTTTGGAAAGAGTAAAGGCATTAAAGAGGAATAAGTGGGTAGGGAGAAAACTGAACTCAAAGAAGAAAAGTTTATTTATGAGCTACAAGTTAATATGCAGAATTCAGAGAAAAAAAGATAGAGTAGAAATTGTTTCCCTGCATCTTAACTTATCTTTGTTGAATGAATTGGGAGTTGTGACTTGAATCCACGGAAATACTCTGTTATTAATACTTTGTTAGTAAGAATTTTTGTGTGTGCTTTATTGGCTAATGGAGAGACCATTGGATTATGAATTCTATCACACTCCTTCTGCAATAATGAGAGTTTGAGGATTACATAGAATAACATCATAAAGAAATAATCATAAATCCAAAAGAGGTTTAGAACCATTGTGGGCAAGTTCACTGAAAGCTATGAAATACTGATGATAACAATAATATCATAGATATTTTTTGACGTTTAAACATTTTAAATAAATTATGATATAGTTTAATTTTGTCACATTAGAAACCAGAACACAGAATACTACATAATAGTTACTGAGTAACTCAACCTCTAAATTACAACAAATGCATTCAATCCTTTACACAAAAATTGCCCTTTAAAGTAATAATTGTGGTATCACAGAGTAGGCACGAATGCCTATGGAAAGCCTATTTTCTTTTTAAAATGTCTGTTTCATTTTTCCCTTAACAGTACTGTTAGAAAATCCAGTCACACTTTTCTTTCTATTGCAAAATTTCATTTTTCTCACCTTTGTTCCATGAAAAAGGATTTACATAATTAAAATGTGTTTTTCTGCCTATTTTATTTTACCACAAAATAAATTAAGTATAAGAAATCTATTGTCATCAAATTTGCTTGTCATATCTGGATAATCTGCTTTACATTACAAAGTATATTCACATACTCAGCATTTATCAAGAGGATGCAATGAGCATTATTAACTTTTGATGAAACATTAACACCCTGACCTATGACTGCCTTGAAATCACAGTAACACTCCTCACTGTCATATACAAAAAAAAATTGCTTTGAGAAATTTCCAAAAGGCTTCTACGGAGGTGAAAATTCCCTGATTGAAATTCATAAATTATTTTATTTTACATTCCCTAAAGTATAATGTGATAAGAAATAAAGTAAGACTCATGGTAAAATAAAATAAAATAAAAACATAAAAGATTTATTCAAAGTCATTTATTTTGCTAAAGTACATGAAAAAAGTCTTGTTCAAAATAATCTATGGCATTGCTTGGGAAATATGTATCTCTACTTAAATACATTCTCTCTTGCTTATGATAATAATAATAATACAATCAATATATATAAGCTAAAGAGGATAAATAAAAATCTAACTAGAGTATTTAAGTTATTTTAAAACATAAAATTTAACTTACAATCTTGGTACAGACATTTTCCCCTCCTTGACTTGCAAGGACTTAAGTATTCTAAGTTCAGATTAGTGATGTTCAAAAGTGACATCATAAAGAAGCCAAGAGCACTGAGAGTTAAAGGGGCAAAACAAAAAAAGTCACTTTTACTTGTTTTGTGAGCTCTAAAATTCTAAGATTATTTTTTCCACTTATTACTGCTTAAATTTAGCTGGAAGTTTTAAAAATAACCAATTAATTTTACATCTTAATAAAATACTTGTTTTAATTTTTCATGTAGTTGTAATTGATTGAATGATAAATCAATCAAAAAAAAATCTAAACATTTATCTGTGAAAATCATTTGCAGTTCAAATTTCCCTTATACTAATGTAATTTTTGCTAAATTCTTTTAATAATTTTGCATTTCATTTTTCCATCTTAATCATAGATACAAGATTTTAAACAAGACTAAATGCTTATTAAACTTATAAACATACTGATATCTTTTGAAATAGTCTATTTTTGTTATACTCATAACTCCTCCACACTAATAGGCAAATACAAGTACTACATCAAGTGGTATTTAAACATGCTGTTGTTATTTTATTGTTTTAGAATATTGTAACTAATATTACTTTATTAAGGAACAGTTTTATTAAACTTCAGCTACAACTACCACAGGAGAAAAATTATTTTTTAAAAATCACTGGTTCAATAAAATCTTGTCACTTATGTATCATACCATGGTAAGTTCTAGAGGTGTTAGGGTTGGGGTTGGAGTTATTTATAAATTAGATTTCTGTGATCTGATTGCTTCACGCTCTACTGACTTAATCATATTAATTATCTACTGGTGTTTTTCTGCAATGTAGTGATTTTAAAAGTAAGTACTTTTTAAAAATCTATGCCATTTTGCTTAGGATTTTATAGTTTATACCTAGTTTATGAAAACAATTTTTCAAAAGTATTTCTTTTATCAGCATACAGTAAGATCTAAATAATCACTGAGCAGCCAGCAATGCTTGCCTTCTGCATAATGACCTCATAAATGAATCACTCATTGTCATTCTTAATTAAATGTGTATGACCTACTAAGATCTTAGAGAGTCAAGGATCTTTTTATAATGAGCATATGCTAGTCTTCTATTGCTACAAAAACATTTTACCATAAACTTAGTGGAATAAAATGACATTCATTTATTAACTTATAATTCTGCAGTTCAGAGTCTCAGGCAGGTTCAACTCGAAGTTCTGCTCAGGATCTCACAGGTTAAAATCAAATATTCAGCTGAACTGGGTCTTACCTGGAGGTTCTAATACAGAATCAGTGCCCAAGCACATTTCACTTGGTAGAATTTCTTTGGCTGTAGTTTTAACATCTCTGTTTTCTTGCTTACTGTCGGCTATGGGCTGCTTTTGTTCCTAGAAGCTGCCCGCTTTCCTTCTCACATATCCCCTCTATATCTTCTAACTTGCAATATTTTGTTGAGTCTTTCTCAAAATATACATCTCTCATCTTTTTTCTGTCCTCTTGGACTCAAGAAGTTATATTAGGCCAACCTACATAATTTCTGTATCTTAAGGATCAACTGGGCATTAGGACAGCATATCATGAACATACTGCCTCTCCATAGTTGCAAGCTCCACCCACACTCAGGGGAAGATGGTTGGAATCATTCTTAGAATTTTTGCCTACTAAAAGGTCAAAATTATATTAGGCTTGCTTTAGTATTTGAGGCTTAATAAAATATATCAGCCTCATATATATTTTTTACTATGCCTTAAGATATTATCAATTTCTATTCATCATCAACATTATTAAAAATCACTTATAAGCATTTTTGTGCTTTTTCAAAAGCGGCCTGTGAGCTTAGTAACCATGTCTTCAAACAAAGATATTTCAGTTTTTAAATATATGTTGTAAGTCCTTTATAGATTATGAAGTAATCTGTGTACAGTAACTCATTTATTGCTTATAATAAAAATTATTATTCTACTATAATTATTATAGTAGAAATTTGGAAGAGGTGGTCCTTGATATTTACAAAAGGTATTCTATAAGTCTTTGCAATGTTATTAACTTAAAAAATAGCCTTATAAGAGGGTACCAGCATAATGAACATTTGCATACCCAACCTTGAATTGTACCCCACATATTTAAAATTATTTAAAAAATCAATGTATATAGCTAAATAATTCTACAGGTTTGTAATAGTTTTAACAATTCAATGATTCACATATTTATGTAGGCATGTGCATATATAATATCTGTGTATGTATGATTTGTATATCTGCTCTATCATCTATTTATGATCTTGCCACCTTTGTATTATCAATTTACTTATCTCTTTCTGTGTTAAAGAATTTAAGACACATAAAAAGTGTATCTAAATTTAGAAACTCTCATGATTTAATCACCTCCCAAAGGTCATGCTTCTTAATTCTGATGAATTGGGGATTAAATTTCAGCATGAATTTTGGAGGAAGCCTCATCATTCAGGTTGTAGTACATCTCTTTGGTAAAATGTATTTCTTTTCATTTGGTAAAATGTATTTCTTTTATGTTTTGGGGTACTATTAACTGTTGTAATTTAAATTGTTCCCTTAATATCTTTTTGATAATATATTATTGTTTCATAAAATACAACTGATTGTAGTATACTGATTTGTATCATTCATATTACTAAATGTATTATTATTTAACAGTTTTAGGGTAGTATCTTTAAAATTTTATTTTTATACAATTTTATATATGTTAGAATATAATTTTATATATGTTAGAATATACACACACACCCTCCCATATACATGTGGGAATGTGTGTGTATGTTTTATGTACATAATATCAATCACCTTCAAACCATAAAGTTTCACTTTTTCCTTTCTGATCACTTTCACTGTTAAGTATGATCTTAGCTGTGTACTTGTTATACATGACCTTTATTATGTTGGTGTATATTTCTTCCATATCTAATTTGTTAAGATTTTTTATCATTCAATTATGTCTATGCTTCAAATGCTTGTTCTGTATCTACTTGAGATATATGATTTTAATCTTTCATTCTGTCAGAGATCTGTATCATATTTATTGATTTGAGTGTATTGGATCATCCTTGCTTCCTAGGAATAAATCTCACTTGATTATGGTGTATTTTCTAATGTGCTGTTAAATTTTATTTGGTATCCTTTTCTTGAGAATATTTGTGTCTATGTCCATTAGGGATATTGACTTGTAATGTTTTTTCCTTGTATAGGTTTTGAATTAGGGCAATGCTCACATGATAAAATAAATTTCAAAGTGTTTCCTCCTCTTCAATATTTTGGAAAAGTTTGAGAAAGATTGCTGCTAAAAATTTTTTCCATGTTTGGTAGACTTTACCCATAAAGATATCTGGTTTGGGAATTTTCTTTCTTGGGAGATTTTTGATTACCTCTTTATTAAATAATCTTACTTGTTATTTGCATGATCAGATTTTGTAAGTATTTGTGATTTAGTCTCGGAAGTTTCTATGTGGGTTTGTGTTTTTTAATCCAGGTTGCATTATTTGTATATAATTGTTCATACTAGTTTCTTCATAATGATTTTTATATCTGAAGTACCAGTGGTAATATCTCCTGTTTAATTTTCTATTTTATTTACCTGAGTCTTCTCACTTTTGTCTATCTAAAAGCTTATGTTTTATTTATTTTTTTCATAGAAACCACTTCATTCGTTGATTTTTGTTGTTTTTGTTGTTTTTCTATTCTCAGTTTTATTTATTTCCTCTCTGATCTTTATGTTCTTGTCCTATCAATTTGGGACTTATTTTATTCTTCTTTTTCATGTTTCTTTAGGCATACTGTTAGCTTGTTTACTTGAGAGTTTTCTTCTTTCTTAATGCAGGTGTATGGCTATAAATATTCCTTTTAGAATTGCTTTTACAGCATTCCATAAGTTTAGTTACATTGTGTTTCCATTTTTGTTGGTTTCAAGATATTTTTTAAATTTCCCTTATCTGTTGTGACCCATTGATTGTTCATAAGTATGTTGTTTAATTTCCACATATTAATGCATTTTCCAAAATTCAGTCTGCTATGGACTTCTAGTTTTGAACCACTGTGGTCAGAATGCATAAAAATTAGATAAAATTTTCTGCATATGTCTGTTATGTCTATTTGGTCTCAAGTGTATTTTAAATTCACAAAATTTTTTGTACTTTTAAAATGTTCCACTCATGTATGAATAGTTCTATTCATTGTTGGAAATGAAGTATTAAAGCCATCTATGATAGACATATTTCAGTCTTATTTTTTCTTCAGATATTTGTTTATATATTTTGGTACTCCAATATTGAATATATTATATATACACCATATATTATTAGTATATACTATATAAACATATTATACATACATACATATTATATATTTGCATATATGCATACAGCAGATAATAATATATAATATATATTAAATACTATAAATAATATATAATAGTGTATACATATTATATACATATTTACAAATGTTCTATATTCTTTATCATTATATAGTAATCTTTTTTTTTTTGTCCCTTGTGACAGATTTTGTCTTAAAGTCTATGTTGTCTGGTATAAGTAATACTACCTCTACTCTCTTTTGACTTCTATTTGCAGGTAATATCTTTTTTCCATTACTCTACATCCCGCCTATGTGAGTCTTTAAAATTGAAGTAAGACTTTTGTAGTCAGCATATCCTTGGGCCTTTTTTTTTTTAATGAATTCAACTACTCTGTCTTTTAATTAGAGAATTGAATCTGTTTGAATTTAGTGTAATTACTAATGAGCAGGTACTTACTATTGTCATTGTTTTAGTACTTTTCTGACTATTTTGCTGCCCTTTGTTCCTTTGTTTTTGTCATTCTATGTTCCCTTGTGATTTGATGATTTAATACTTAGATATTATATGTTTTGATTCCTTTCTCATTACCTTGTTTGTGTCTACCACACGTTTTCCAGAGAATCACATGCCCATCTCCTTTGAAGACACCCTCACAGACAACCCAGAAATAAAGCTTTACTA